ATCTTATCTCTAAATTCAATTTTCTTTTCTTATACATCAAAAAGGGGGTTCTCAACAAAGAACCACATGAAAGATCATATTCTATAACTGAAAATATTTTGAGGGATTAAAAAAAAGGCCCTTATACAAATGCAAGGTGTCATATAAACATCCATTCATCAAAAATGGTTAGGGAATGAGGAAATCCAGTTAGATCAAATATTTTAATCTTTAAATGCACCATATAAACTACACATTGATTACCTATTAGTGTCAAGCAATTATATTAAAAAGACCCAAGTATGAACATATTGTATAGATTAACATTTTTCCTTTAGGATCTTACTGTGCCCAGTACCACTATGAGGCCTTTTAATCATCACTACATACAGCTTGAAAGGAAACACACCCATTATTTGAGCTTTGAGGCTGACTCGCCTCCAGACAGAGGCTTCACAGGATTCTTATCTTTATCATGATATTCACCAGGTTTTGGACGTTCTGCCTGAATCCCACTGTGGTATATTTAGCATCAGCCCTTCTTACAGCAGCTGGGAACCTAAACCCTGAAACATGGTTTCCAAAGTATTAATTTCTGCTCACAAAAATATGGGGAAAACACTTTTTCATGTGACGTAACTTACTACATGAAGTTGATTAAAGCTTGTTAAAAGCCATTTGACTTGCTTCATTTACACACACAGGTACACAGACAGACACATACACATGCTCAATGTTTCTGAAATAAAGAAATATTCTCCACTGACAAAGAGAGAAGATTTTCAGGGACTAGATGAGCAGCATGTATTTTAAATGTCTCTCTCTAGATCACACTTAAGTATATGTTTGGTTTGCAACAGCAGCAGCCCAGTAAATGTGGCCAGACATATATTTTACTTAGGAGTTGCTATGGAACCCTTTCCTAACTGAAAATTAAATCTCTCCATCTGTTTGCATGACTATTCACCGCAGTGCGGAGGGCCAGCTGATCTAACAAACATCCCACTGAACAGATTCCTCAAACCAGAAAAAAATAACAAGCTCACAGTAGAGCAAATACATGAGACACCATATAATTCTGCAAGACCCAGTCTCCAAAAGGCACCTTAATATTTATAAAACTGGTGGAACTTTACTTAGGGATATACTTTCACACAGGCAACCTATGATATATATTTCTCAACAATATAATGTATGTAATCTGCTATAAATCCAAACGGCGAACTGTCCTGTGATCAACTAAAAAAAGGGGGGCATTATTTAATAGACAATTTGGTCCTTATTTGGGGCTGTATTTAAAAGTACCTAAAAAGATAATAAACCGTATTAAAATACTAAATTGATTCCATATATTTTCCCACTTTGAAAAGCCAAATTAAAGATACTTCAATAAAATAGAACACTGTGATAGATGCAATATAATTTTAGCTTTAATTATTTAACTTATCACACATTTATAATGTAAATCATGTTAAAAAGTCCCAGAATTTTCTAAGGCTATAAGTCTATTCCAATTAATTCTAATTATCTGAATAATTTTATGTTCATAGGATTATAACTACCAGCCTATAAACTTATCTACCCACAAATACACACATTTTATCATACCAATTTATAATTCTTAATTGTTTCCATTAGCAAATTTATAAATTCATCAAAATATTATATAGAAAGAATTACTGATAATATATCCTGAAGCAGTTTTAAAGTATTTTATGAAGCAGAGTTCACTTAAGTCTCTGAAAGCACTTTCCTTTAAAAAAATTTTTAACAAAATTTTAAACTGTTTTATTTAAATTCTGTCCCTAGAGAGAAATCAATAGGTATTATTTTTCTCCTCTTCAAATGTTTTTTGTCCCTAAACAGTTTGTTAGTTATTTTTTCATACTATGCTTGTAGGATTTGTTTTCTTTCCTGAAGGTAATTTTACATATGGACAAGTATTCTTTCCCCTAGTAGACTATGAAGTCCTAAAAGCAAAACATTACTGTGCCTTACCTAAAATGTCTGTTAAGATGTATTATCCATCTTTGATTTCTCCCATACCAATGAACTTATTTTCTTAAAATAAATGTTTGCTGGTTCACTTTAACATATAGACTTGTAATAAATTTTCCCTGTGAAACCATAACATTTTAGATGTTCAGGGAAAAAATTTTTTAAAGAGGGTATGTAACTTTTCAGTCTTGAACTTGACCTATGGCATCATTTGGAGAACATGCTATCTGATAAATAAGCAAACTTACTTGATAGTTTTATAGCAATGAAAAGTAAGCTTTTTTTTTTAAGATTTCTTAACAGACTGTTAAGATTTAAAAATTCATTCCAACAGTATACTAACACATATATATGGAATTTAGAAAAATGGAAACAATAATCTTGTATGCGAGACAGCAAAAGAGACAGAGATGTATAGAACAGTCTTTTGGACTCTGTGGGAGAAGGCGAGGGTGGGATGATTTGGGAGAATGGTATTGAAACATGTAAATTATCATATGTGAAATGAACCACCAGTCCAGGTTCGATGCATGAGACAGGGTGCTCGGGGCTGGTGCACTGGGATGACCCAGAGGGGTGGGATGGGGAGGGAGGCGGGAGGGGGGGTCAGGATGGGGGACACATGTACACCCGTGGCGGATTCATGTCAACGTATGGCAAAACCAATACAATATTGTAAAGTAATTAGCCTCCAATTAAAATAAATAAGTTTATATTAAAAAAATTCATTCCAGCTGTCTGAAAATATTTAGAAATAGAATCATTCATTCTGATGGGACTGCTGAACTTGTTTTCTAGACTTGGTAAGGAAATCAACCGTATTTCTCTACACCTTACCATTATTTTTCTGACAAAATTATCTGAAGGTACCTCAAAGATAAGATGCATCATTAATATAAATAATTACTGGAAAGGAATTCAATATAGTATTATAATCTCAGGCAAGATCCAGCCTAGAGCCAATGTTTTCCAAAGTTCCAAGTTAAAGTTGTGCTAGACAGTCTGGGTCTCGGGGGACATGATTGTTTAGTTGGAGTTCCTTTTTTTCATCTCACTGCCTATGTCAAATATCTCAGATCTCTTAGAAATAAAATCAAAGAGTCAGGCAGCAGAGAACATTGTCATGTGTGGCTTAAAGACTTCCATTGTTTTCTGTTTTCACTGTAACAGTAACATTTTGAAATATAATAGGCACGAATGGCAAAGAAAAAATACTCTGAAAAGAGCGATTAAGTATAAGAGGGATATTTTATCTAAATTTTATAGGACAATAAATTAGCAATCAGCATGCCATTTCTATAAACATTAAGAGATTCTTATTGAATTTTTCAGATAGTCAAATATTTCATCCATTAGTCCTTCTCTTCCCTTGGTATTATAATAAATAACTCTTCATAAGTGCTCCAAAGTAACAGCAAATATAGACGGCATAAAAGTCAGACATTGGATGCATGTATTTCTGCAACACCTCTTCCACATTATATACACAACTTGAAGCTTCAACACTGTGGTTAATTTTAAATGTAGTCAAGATGGCAGCCCACCCACGTTTCCAGGCTTAAAATATAAAATCTTTTATAACTGCTTCTTCACTCCTTGCAGAATCCATATAAGCTTGTCATCACACTAATGATATTTCTCCAACCAGTTTCTGTAGCTTCCAAAGATCTGCTTGGTTCTTTCGTACTGATGTTATCCACTGGAACTAATTTCCCCCTTAAAACACTGAGTAATCTGTCACAGACAATAGACTTACATGAAAGAGAATTCTAGAAATGCCTACTGCCTCCTAAAATGATAAAATTTGTTTTTTCAGATGGAAAACAAAAGCAAAACCAAAGATAAGAGATTCTGAGACCTTAAGCAAACAAGTCACAAGATGAGAATGAATCTTACCTAGTAGATGTCAAATACAAACCTATTGGTCATAAAAACACCTTAGTGGAACAGTTATGGTAAGAAGGCCACGAAGAAGAGGAGTGTGTGCTAAGTCACTTCAGTCCTGTCTAACTCTCTGCGACCACAGAGACTGTAGCCCGCCAGGCTCCTCTGTCCATGGGGATTCTCCAGGCAAGAATACTGGAGTGGGTGGCCATGCCCTCCTCCAAGGGATCTTCCCAACCCAGAGATCAAACCTGGATCTCCTGCACTGCAAGCAGATTCTTCACCATCTGAGCCATCAAGGAGGCCCACAGAAAGGGAGAAATTGGGCTAAAATATTTTTCCTTGAAACAGATATTCTCATATGTTGCTGATAGGAGAATGAATTATTTCATTTGAAGAAAATAATAGTATTTATTAACATCAAAAACATATATATTTTTTGATTCAGCAATGTGGTTTGGGGTTGCTCTGCTGAAAAAAGAGATGCAAACACTAATATGTAAGGATACCATGTATTGTAGTTATGTTTAATCCAACACGTCTCTGGTGGCAAAAACTGGAGAAGAAATCCCTTATTTTCCATAAATAACACAATGGTTGAATAAATTATGATATGCCATGGAATATACACCATTACTTTTAAGAATGACTTAGAACTATTTGTTCATAATTGTGGATGGCCATTATAGATGCTGCAAAGTGAAAAATGCAACTTCCGAATTAATGTACATAGAACAATTCTGTTTTGATGAAACTAATAAGTACACAAATAAATTTTCATGAAAATTTGTATTTCTGTGTATTTTACAGAGTAAAAAACAGCAAAAAATTGTGTTCAGTTGATGATGACATTAATAAATAAATAGATGTTAAAAAATAAAATTTATTTCCTTGGACATTTCTTCTTTTAATTAAAAAAATTCTTAACTAAAAAAATTGTATCTTTTTTTTTTTTAAAGAGAAAGAACGCTTTATTGGGACGCTGGCAGCCCGCCAGGGCCCTACACGCGTGCTCGGGAGGGACGCAGGACGCTCCGCCAACCGCGGCCAGTGGCACATGGCACCCAGGCAGCACCCTCCCAACCTCACCCCAGGGGCCGGGACCCTCCCAGCCTTTCCTGGAAGTTAACTCTGGTCCACTACAGATAGAGCCCCTCCGGGGTGCCTTCCTGTTTTTTATAAAGAACATTTTCCTTCGACTTTTTGAAGTCTTCATCTGTTACTTTCATTCTGTGCTCTCTCAAGGCCATCAGACCAGCTTCTGTGCAGATTGCCTTGATGTCGGCGCCAGAGAGGTCATCTTTAGCCATGATCAGGTCATCCAGGGTCACGTCGTCAGCCAGTGTCATCCTGCTCGTGTGGATCTGGAAGATGCGCTTCTTGGTCTTCTCGTCGGGCAGGGGGAGCTCGACCTTCCTGTCTATGCGGCCTGGTCTGATGAGGGCCGGGCCCAGGGTCTCTGTGCGGTTTGTGGCCATGATGACTTTCACGTCTCCCCTCGAGTCACCCCGTCCAGCTGGCTCAGCAGCTCCAGCATCTGCGCTGAGTCTCTCTCCCCGCCCGAGTTGGGGTCGTTCCTTTTTGTCCCAACAGCATCAGTCTCATCAATAAACACGATGGACGGTGTGTGTTCTTCAGCAACTCGAAACGGTTCCCGAACGAGTTCGGGGCCATCGCCCAGGTACTTCTGAATAAGTTCAGAGCCAACCACTCGCAGGAAAGTGGCTGAGGTTTGGTTCGCTACTGCTGTGGCTAATAAGGTTTTACCTGTGCCGGGCGGGCCGTAGAGAATGACCCCCTTGCGGGGCTTGATCCCCATCTCTTCATAATATTCAGGATGAGTGAGAGGAAGCTCCACAGATTCCTTAATTTCCTGGATTTGGTTGTCCAGCCGCCCAATATCAGCATAGGTCTCCTGGGGCGCCTTTTCCACCTTCATCACCGTGACCAAGGGATCCACGTCCTCCATCAGCACTCCGATCCCCGCGAGCACCTTGTGGCTGAGCAGCGCCGAGCAGCCGGGCTCCAGCAGGCCCTTGTCTACAAACGAGAGGGTGCTGACGTGGTGCTCCGAGCCCACCGGCGTCGACACGATGGCGTGGTTGCCGTCGATGATCTCCTCCAGGGTTCCTACTGACATCGGGGTCCCCCTCAGGTCATCCACCTTCGACCTTTCCTCCTCTTGCTTTTCTTCTAAGGGCTTCATTTGCTCCTGATTTCTAATGAATTCTTCCTCCATGAGAAGATAGTCTTTAATTCTCTCTAGCTTCAGTAATTTTAACCGGCACTGAGTGTGAGGTGTCACCAGGGGCAGTTTGCTGGCAGCATCTGGTCCCTTTGTTTTCTTCTTCTTTTCCCCAACTCGAGTTGGTACAGGAGGTTCATATTTCTTTTTCTTGTCCTTGTCATCCTTCTTGCCACCTCCAGGACCATCACCACCACTCTGACTTTGACCCATCTTGCTCCGGCCGCTGGAGCCGCCACCGCCGCCCAAAAAATTGTATCTTTTAATTTAATTTTATTTTTTGGCCTCACCATGTGGAACTTCTCTAACCAGGTATTGAACCTGCGTTCCCTGAAGTAGAAGCATGAAGTCTTAACCACTGAACCACCAGAGAAGTCCTCCTTGGATATTTCCTGAAGAAACGGCAACAGGAACTTTGTTGTTTTAGTTCTTAATAAGCAAACATTTCTTTTCCACCATTTGCCACTAGAGCTACTATGGGGGAAGGGAGGAAACAGAAGGGGATGAAAGTTCTTTGGCCTTCTCTGTACTTCTCCATGTGGCCAACATGACTAACACCCTTAGGATCCTGGTGGCAAAATCTGAAGTACGAGGACTTCCCAGGCCTTGGGTCTGAGACACCTGCCCTGGCCCAGTTTACTAGAAACTTCTACATTAGTTTATCAGCCCAAGCCTAGCTTTTCACATTAGAGTAGAACTTTATTCATAAGTCTCTGCTCATGGTACTGGGACAGCCCTTGGGAATTTCACAGGATGCTAAGGGTACATTCAAGCGTTCCTTCATCTAAGGCACAAACCACCCAATAGAACAACAGTCCCTACCATGACTAAGGAAAACAATAATTTGGCTCTTCCACAAAGCAACATACATCATCAAAAGTCACATGGCTGGCTAGTGAGCAGCTCGGACATCAGAGTATGGAGGGCGTGCTAATGCATAGACACATCTCCAGGGCTGCCCTGGGGAAACTGATAGGTTTCCTTTGTAGGTTCAAGAGAACTTGATGCCATTAAAGCATTCTCAAAAGTTTGGGGTACTTCACTCAGCATGACAAATCTCTTGGTTTGTCCATACTGCTGCAAATGGCATTATTTTGTTTTTAATGGCTGAGTAATATTCCATTGTATATATGTACCTAATCTTCTTTATCCACTCCTCCGCTAATGGACATTTAGGTTGCTTCCATGTCTTGGCTATTGTAAATAGTGCTGCAGTGAACGCTGGGGCACAGGTATCTTTTCAAATTATATACACTACTATGTCTAAGAGATAATTAATAAGGATCTAATGTATAGCACAGAGAATGCCACTCAATACTCTGCAAATGGCCTATATGGGGGAAAAAAACCTTAAAAAGAGTGGATAGATGTATAACTGAATCACTTCACTGCATATCTGAAACTAACACAATGTGATAAAAATCAACTATACTCCAATAAAAGTCTTATAAAACAAAGCAACAACAAAAAAGTTTGGGATAAGTAAACATAGTTTTTTGTAAATTATTAACAACTGCTTACTGAACATCCCTAGATATAAGATGTTAGAATGGTCTCAGGGATATACAGATTAATAAGATGCTGCCCTTAATCCAGAAGCTCAACCAGTCACAGTTGGAGCTCCATTAATATAAGTTACACAGACAGAATAGCGAAAGTGCACTGACAAAAGCGATGGACTTTGGAAATGCTGGGGAAGGACAGTTAATTCTGAATTCAAAAAATAAGCAAAGGTTTTGAGGGCCAAGGAAACAACCATATAAACAAAAGGATTTCAAGCCACAATTTAAATGGATAAGCAACAAGGTCCTGCTGTATGCACAGGGAATTATATTCAACATCCTGTGATAAGCCATAATGGAAAAGAATATAAGTGTTTACATATGTATAACTGAGTCACTTTGCTGGACAATGAAAATAAACACAGCCTTGTAAATCAACCTTGTAATTTACAACCTTGTAAATTATTCAATAAAATAATTTTACAAAATTAATTGCATCAAGAAGTCTCACTCTTTAAATAAAGTTAGTAATGAATTTGCTAGTAAAATGTGAAAAAGCCTCTTCAAAAAGAGGCAGAAGGACACTGATGTGAACAGAACCGCTGTACTGGGATCCAGACCCATTCAGAGGACACAGGACTGCTGCTGCCTCTTACTTTTAATCGCAGACCCAACCCCACCATGTGGTGAAGTCACTCTTCCCACAACAGGTTGATGATAAAGCATTGGGGAAGGTGGAAAGTGATGAACCAAAGTCATTTACACTTGCCAGTGTGCTGACATTGTGCCAGAAAATCCTTCACGAGGCAGGCAAAAGAGCCACTGAGCATGAAACTGCCTTATCCATGGTACCACGTAGTAACATGAGGGCAAAGCTTGTGAACTAAAAGGCTAGTGGTGGCAACTGGGATGTAAGAGAGTTGACCACATGCATTTGGATTTGAGGTGACTGGATGGTAACTGCCTAAGCAACCATGGGTAAGAGGATGTTCAATGAGACTCCATGGGAAGTGTCATTGCAACTGCATTTATTTTAAATGGGGAACACATTTACACTCAAATTTTAAGACAGTCATCTTTTGGTAAAGCATGTTTTAAAATGTCCTTCCCGTCTATAAATAGTGCAAAAAAGGACACTAATGCCAGAGGAAGGATCACAGCCACCAAAGAAGATTAAAAAACAGTACATCCAGACCAGGAAAAAAGAGAATTGCTTTACAGAGGCATTTTCAAAAGCAGAGAGCCAGGATTTTGCCATTTACCTTAGGGAACAGGAAAGCCTCCCACTGATGTAATCTGGTACTTAGTATTTTTTTATTGAAAAGTGCATAGGTTAATAGTAACCTATGACTCATGAGTAATTAGGGTTCTGAAACAAGAGATAAGCCTCCCAGTAGAATAAGCCAAAGTGGAACATGTCGGACCTGGAGAAGAATCTAGTCTAACCAGACTTCAGTCACATAGTCACTAAAGGTCATCATTAGACCCTGGTGAGGAGAAAATGATCATTAGTCAAAATCTAGCATGCATACCTAGCATACACACTTGGAGGATATAGAATGTATCACCAACATGGCATCTCAAGTCATCACATCCCAACAAAAAACCTCAGTGTGTGTTGAATGTCTTGATACCTGGAACAAAAGGATGATACTACCTGAATGCTGAAGTAACACTCTGTTCCCACAGGACATTTGAATCTGTGATGGTTCATGTCCCGTCACTCAGGTGTGTCTGACTCTTTGCCACCCCATGGACTGCAGCACACCAGGTTTCCCTGTCCTTCACCATCTTCTGGAGCTTGCTCAAACTCATGTCCATTGAGTCGGTGATGCCATTTAACCATCTCGTCCTCTGTTGCTCCCTTCTCCTGCCTTCAATCTTTCCCAGCATCAGGGTCTTTTCCAATGAGTCAGTTCTTCACATTAGAATACTCAGGATTGGAATCTATGATAGAGTCCTCTCTTAATGAGGTAAGTTTCTGAGTCTACCCATATTACAGCAGATATTAATAATTAGAGCAGATATTAAGCAGACAGAAAAATGATGTCTCCAAACTATCAAATGACACTTCAGTTCAACAGACCATGAGTGTGCTATGTGCAGGATGCTCTGGAAAACAACACGTTTACACAGGTCAAACAAACACCTTGTTCCAAAGGCAGGATAAGCCCATCAGGAAAAAGATGCCATGAGATGAAATAGGTACCCTAATAAAAGCAAAACTCAGAACACAGTGGGCGTTGGTAAGGTCATGGACAGTGACAGGAAAGAATGTGTCTGTGAGCTCCAAAAAGAGACACATAATGAGTTTTCTTCCCAGCAGAAGGCGTGGCCAGGTGATATCTTCCCGTCATTTTGTTCCTTGGTGACAACCAAGAATGACAACCATGCAGTCTGGACATCAAATATTTATTGAGTCAGCACATGGGCTAGTGTAGATGTGAAGAAATAAATATACTAAGTGAAATAAGTCAGACAGAGAAAGACAGATTTTATATGATATCACTTACATGTGGAATCTAAAAAAAATGATATAAATGAACTTAATTACAAAACAGAAACAGAGGCACAGACATAGAAAACAACTTTATAATTACCAAAAGGGAAAGGGGAGAGGAATAAATTGGGAATTTGGAATTAACAGATATATACTACTTTATATAAAATAAATAAGAAGGCCTACTGTATAGCACAGGCAACTACATTCAATATCTTATAATAACCTATAGAATATATATGCATATATATTATACATGTATATATATATGTATATATATACACATACATATATCTCTGGAAGTAGTTATATATATATATCCAGATGCAGTGGCAGATTTTATTCTCTTGGGCTCCAAAATCACTGTGGACGGTGACTGCAGTCATGAAATTAAGACTTTACCTTTATAAGGAAAGCTATGACAAACACAGACAGCATATTAAAAAGCAGAGACATCACTTTGCCAAAAAAGGTCATAGCTATGGTTTTTTGAGTAGTCATGTATGGATGTGAGAGTTGGACCATAAAGACAGCTGAGCTCCAGAGAACTAATGCTTTCAAATTGTGGTGTGAAGAAGACTCTTGAGAGTCCCTAGGACCTCAAGGAGATCAAACTAGTCAGTCCTAAAGGAAATCAACCCTGAATATTCATTGGAAGGCCTGATGCTGAAGCTCCAATACTCTGGCCACCTGATGCAAAGAGCCAACTCACTGAAAAAGACCCTGATCCGGGAAAGACCGAAGGCAAAAGGAAAAGGGGATGGCAGATGATGAGATGGTTAGATAACATCATCAACTCAATGGACATGAATCTGCAAACTACAGGAGATAGAGGACAGAAGAGCCTGGCATGCTACATCTATGGGACCACAAAGAACGACGACAATACATATATATCTGTGACTTTGACACAAGGCCAGCTTATCATCAGAGACAGCTAGAATTGGTTATCTTGGAGTAGAGAAAAGTGGTGACCTAATGAATGTCTTCAGGACTATGATTTTTTTTTTAATTTCTAGGCTTATTTTGAGTAGTCTTAAACCCTTAGAGGTCATGTGTGTGCGTGTATTGTAACTGAATCACTTTGCTGTACACTTGAGTGTAAATCAACTATACATTAGTAAAAATAAATAAACAAACAAGTAAACATTTTCTCACACCCGCTATCAGAAAGCTTAGAAGCAGGGAACCTGGCCACACAGCCCAGACTG